ATGCTAACCATGAAAAAAACAGATGCATCCCTAAAAGAATAAACTTTCTTTCTTATGAGGAACCTTTAGGGATCAGCTTAGCTTCAGTTGCTGTGTCTTTTTCCCTGGTAACAGTATGGGTGCTTAGAACTTTTTTTAAGCACAAAGACAGCCCCATTGTCAAAGCCAATAACTGGGAACTCAGTTACACTCTACTTGTTTGTCTCCTGCTCTGCTTCCTTTGCTCTTTGCTCTTTCTTGGGCAACCAAGAAAAGCCACCTGCTCTTTTAGACAATCTGCTTTTGGTGTCATCTTCTCTGTGGCAATTTCTTGTCTGTTGGCCAAAACCATCCTTGTTTCTCTAGCATTTATAGCCAAAAAGCCTGGATCAAAGATGAGGGCATGGGTGGGGAAAAGACTGGCCCTTTCCATTATCCTTTCCTGCTCTCTTCTCCAAGCCAGCATTTGTACTGTGTGGTTGTCAATCTATCCCCCATTCCCTGAGTTAGACATGCATTCAGTAAATGAAGAAATCATTCTGCAATGCAATGAAGGATTGGTCTCCATGTTTTACTGTATTCTGGGTTATCTGGGTCTCTTGGCCTTTGCTAGCTTCAATGTGGCATTCCAGGCTCGTAAATTGCCAGACAGCTTTAATGAAGCCAAGTTCATCACCTTCAGCATGTTGGCCTTCTGCAGTGTGTGGGTCTCCTTTGTTCCAACCTATCTAAGTACTAGAGGAAAAGCCATGGTGGCTGTGGAGATTTTCTCCATCTTGTCCTCCAGTGCTGGGTTATTAGGATGTATCTTTTTCCCTAAATGCTACATCATTGTATTGAGACCTGAGCTAAACAACAAGGAACACTTAATAAGGAGAAAAGACTGAGTAAGTTATCTGCCATTTGTATCTGTATCTTGGAAAATGAACGGTATTTACTGTCAAGAAGTTACTAATCTATTTTGATTAGAGAGTCATGCTAGCTGAGGCCAAAGGCCCATCTTGTCCAGCATCCTTTCCCTAAAGAAGTCAAGCAGATGTCTACTGGAAGACCATGTATCATTCATGGATCAAATAATGTTCTATTCTTCAGGAATGCTCTTAAGAAACAGCCTTCACCTGATATCATTCAAAATCTATCTATCCATATCTATCAATCAATCAATCAATCATATCAAACAGTTCTCAGCAGCTCACATGGATATACTTTATATTGTATTTTTTCTAATACAAATATAGAAACACAACAGCACTAAAGTAATGCAAAGAAGATAGAATAAAAATATGGGGTCATGTCCAGCTCTGAGTCTCAGGGTTCTGACACCAAGAGGCCTGCTCTGAGAGAGCTAGAGCACATGTGGGAAATCTCCTGTCCTCTCCTTATCCGGAGAGGTA